CACCCCTGAGCTTAACAGAAAATGGCCAAGGACATGCAAACCAAGTGGGGAGTTCTGCTAAAAACACAATGTAATGATATGCAAAACTTCAAAATCGATAAGTCAGGTTACATGTTCTTAATAAAGATTTTTATTATAAAATATATGCAGCCTTGTGCCTATGGCTGAATCACAGCCATGCTGATATAGAATGATATCACACAGCTACTTGTGTGATACTGCTCATATATAAAATAGACAAACTCATTACCCTATGAGGATTATGACCCATCCCTAATAATGGCAAAACAGATGACCAAAAACCAGAGAACCTACTCCCCCAATATTTTCCAAAATTGTCATTTTTCTCTACATACACCCACACACAGACAAACAGAGTCTCTTTAGATATGCCATCCATTTTCTGTGACCCATCCAAGGACATCTTATCAACACTCAGCTTCCTGTTCTGAAGCCCTGACTCTATTACGACCAACATTTGGGGCCCTTGCTTACAAAATGACCCCCTAAAACATACATCAAAGTGACACACACCACTTACCATGTTCACACACACACACACACACACACACACTTGAGTAGCGCGAGAGGTCTTTAAATTAAATTAAATTACAAGTTAAGGTAGCAGAAATGTTAGCCAGCAATGTGTTCAGCTTCTCAGACAGATACTTATTCACTTTATAACTTTATGACCAGTGGGAACGTAAGGACTTTGGTGTTGACAATGATTTGGCCAGAAATGTGTATGATTGTGTGTGTGTGTGTCTGTGTGTGTGTGTGTGTGTGTGAGTCAAAGATAATCTCAGTGAGAATACATTATGCTTACTTGAAGACCAAAGAAGCAACTTGCAGATCTGTAATTTGCAAGCAGGTGAAATGAAGGGGAATATTTACTGTACCTGTGTATCTGCAGCTCAAAGCCAATGGAAGGAGGGGCATCTTCCAGCCTCTGTACAGAAAACCGTAAACCAACTGACAACTAGAGCCAGAGAGAGAAGAAAAGGAAAAACATGAAGACATCAAAAGCTTAAGGGACATCTGTAAGTGCTCAGTAAAACAGAATAGAGCTCTACCCCCAGTGTCTCATACAGGAAAAACCCACCACAATTAACACTGTGCCGTCTTACATGCTGGAGGGAGGAGTGTGGGGCCTGTCTGGACAGTTTCACTGCTGTTATACCACCAACAAATAAACTAGTATTACATGTATTACATGATTACTCAGTAAATCAATAAAAACTTGGACATGAAATATTGACTTGAGTCAAAATTATATTATACGTTTACCAGCATATTTTCTTAAAGCTTCTGCAACTGCAATGGACAAAACAATTGCCCTAGCAGCAAGATGATCACTGCAACAATATTACAGTAATATTTATACTAAAGTCATCAAAGGTCATTTTCACTACAGTAAATAGTTGAGATGCAAAATGGCACCAGTTTCGTTTGCATGATACGTGAATGTGAGCAGCATGATATACAGCGCTGCAAAAGATGATGATAATATGCAATATCTGACCAGTGATGTAAATATCAGATCATTTTACTAACATAACTTTGAATTGTGTGGAGCAAAATGCACTAATGTGTATCAAAGTCATTTCATTTATTAGTTTAAAAATGTTATATTTTCATATTTGTATTAGGAAATATAATGCAGCCAAAGATAAAATATGTGAAAAAAATAATAGTTCACCTTTATTTGTCAAGTGACAGAGGCAAAATGTTCGTGTCGTTCATGAATGACCCATCTCTACTGACCACCAAATATCACGCTTAACCAATCAGAAGGAAGTATTCTAGAGTGCTAATGATAATTTATATGACTTGGGGGCAATTCACACCAAACATGTCTCAAAAACCAGTTTATGATGTAAAATTATAGCTCATTATTCTTTTGCATTAGCTGTCATATTAGCTATTGTTAACATATTGAAAACTTAATGCAAAGTGTTACCAGTGTATTTATATAATTGCAATTTGCCCTGCCAGCTCTTAAAAAACAAGTATTTATAAAGTCCTTTTCTCTGATTTATATCTTTTGTTGTTTTTCTGCTCTGCTGAACAAAGTCTAAACACTGGAATCTTCATTCGCAAACAAATAGTAAAATTTCACTAATCATCTCTCTTTCTCGTTGGCTGTAACTGTGTCCATATGGCGTAGTTCATTAGAATAAGTCTGATAATGGCTGCTGGGATGGATAATGAAGGCCAGTCCTTTAGCTAAAGGCTATGTGCTAACTCTAAAGCCCCATAAATGAGCTTCCCCAGGCGGAAACCTTCCTTACTACAAAGCCCCCTCATAACAGACGGGTGAGAGTAACAAGTGCTGTTAAACTTTAAAGAGGGAACTGGCCACGGAGCATCTTTTTGTGGTCTTGCGTCCTTTTTTTTTTTTTTTTAAATGAAGTTTTTATTGGTTTTCTTTATACATAACAAAACATACCAGTACAAAAATAAGTAAATAAATAAATACACTATACAAAACAAAACAAACAAAAGTAATTATCATAAATAATAATAATAATAATTATTATAGAAATGCCACTTAAATGCACAACAGGGTAATCAAGTCACATTTCAAATGATGACTGATACTAGATCCATGCCTGAAGTAACAATCTGAATAAAATTCTCCTACATGTCAACATCCATGTGATTTCCATTCACTTTAGCTAACATTTTTTCATATGATACATTCTCTATCATAGATTCAATCCACATTTTAAGTGAAGGACATTGAATATCTTTCCAAAATCTAAGTATCAGTCGTACTGCCGTGATTACACCGACAGTAACAAGGGAAAACTCGTTATTTTTAATCTGAGGAATCTCCGATTTATCTCCTAAAAGACAAATCCTTGATGAAAATGGAAGGTTAAATCCCAAACATCTTCCAAGATATTTCAACACAATTTGCATAGTAACAGGGACCATCCCAGATATGTAATTAAACTGTGGTGCTATCGTCATCTTTATTATATTAATCTTTCCCCACAAAGTTAACATAATTTTCTTCCAACTATCTAACTTTGTTTGTATTTTCTGCAACAAAGGTACCATATTCAAATTCAAAATATTCTCTAAATTAGGGCTTAGGTGGATACCTAAATATCTAATCCCTTTATTTATCCATTTAAATTTAAATGCACTGACCGAGGAAGAAAAATACACTGCTGATACTGGCATAGCCTCTGACTTATGCCAGTTGATTTTATATCCTGAAAATTTAGAATAGGATTCAATCATATTAAGGAGTACTGGTAAGGAGCCTGCAGGGTCTTTAACTACTAGCAATATGTCATCGGAATATAACAGTAACTTATGTTCTCTTTCCCCTGCAAATACACCTTTAATTCTTGGTTCCTCTCTAATCATTGAAGCAAGCGGTTCCAAAACTAATGTAAAAAGTAGTGGACTAAGAGGGCAGCCTTGGCGGGTAGACCTAGATAGATTAAAAAAGGATGATGTTAGTAATCCCTTTATTTATCCATTTAAACTTAAATGCACTGACTGAGGAAGAAAAACACACTGCTGATACTGGCATAGCCTCTGACTTATGCCAGTTGATTTTATATCCTGAAAATTTAGAATAGGATTCAATCATATTAAGGAGTACTGGTAAGGAGCCTGCAGGGTCTTTAACTACTAGCAATATGTCATCGGCATATAACAGTAACTTATGTTCTCTTTCCCCTGCAGATACACCTTTAATTCTTGGTTCCTCTCTAATCATTGAAGCAAGCGGTTCCAAAACTAATGTAAAAAGTAGTGGACTAAGAGGGCAGTCTTGGTGGGTAGACCTAGATAGATTAAAAAAGGATGATTTTAGTCCATTAGTTATTACAGCTGCTTTAGGATTGGAGTAAAGAATTTTAACCCACTTCACAAAACCTGAACCAAAGCCAAATTTTCCTAAAGCCTCAAAAAGAAACCCCCACTCCACCCTAGTCTAGGCCTTTTCCGCATCAAGCGATATTGCAGCAATGGGATCTAGATTAGAGTGATTCATCCACATAAGATGTAATAGCCTTCTCATATTGTCAGACGAAGATCTATTTTTAATAAAGCCCACCTGGTCTCTGTGTATAATTTTAGGTAAAATACTTTCTAATCGTAAGGCTAATAATTTTGTTAACACTTTACAATCTACATTTAATAAACTTATGGGACGGTAATTAGCAGGATCCATCGTGTCTCTATCCGGTTTTGGTATGAGTGATATTAAGGCTTCATTAAAACTGTCAGGCAACATATCATTCTCAAGTACCTCTGCATATACCTCAGTTAATATTGGGGTCAACTCATCGACAAACTTCTTATAATATTCTCCTGGGAATCCGTCAGAGCCTGGTGATTTTCCAGATTTCAAAGACATTATAACAAGTTCTGACCTCCTCTTGTGTTATAGGTCCATCTATTGAGGCTCGTTCGTCAGGGGTTAAAGTGGGCAATGTAACATTAGCTAGAAAGTCTTTTAACTCCTTCTGACTGTAAATGGATTCTGATGTGTACAGTTTTGAATAGTACTGGTTGAAAACCCTATTAATTTCTTTGTTGGAGGTGAGCACCTTATTTCCCTCCTTAATTGCAGGTATGACGTGACACGCTTCATGTTGTTTTATCTGTCTAGCAAGGAGTTTCCCCGCTTTTTCCCCACTCTCATAATACTTGGTCTTCAATCTAAATAATGCATATTCTGCTTTTTTATTAAAGAATTCATGAAGATCAAATTTTAATTGACTTTTTTAGTCATTCTGAAAGTATATCGACTTTTAATAAGATGGCTACAGCTACCAACTGTAATTAGGACGGTGATAGATTTACAACAGTAAATTCCACTCACTTTCAACTAACTTAAACATCACATTCAGTTTTTAAATATATAGTTTTGAAAGTATATTATTTCTGTAAAAAGGATTCTTTTTAAAAGTATGCTAATGCTAGTATGCATTAAAGTATGCTAGTGTGGAAACACAGGGTTTCAGTGTACGATTTACTTCTCTTTGAGAAATCTCTCAAAGCTACAGCTTCAGCAGACTGTCATATGTATTATTTTTCTGATATTTTATGGCACTTTGTCTTCAGCATACACCTGCATTTTTTACTAAACATTTCCTTTTGTGCTACACAAAAGTAATACGGGTATAGAACGGCAAGAGGGTGAGGAAAAATGACAATTCACATTTTTAGGTGAACCTTTCTTCTAAAACCCACTCACCGCAATGGTCTGGAGAACGATTCGTCCTCCTCTTGTGTTTTGATACTCCAGCAGGTGCTCCACCTGATCCCTCTCCTTCAGTGAACGCTCTAGAAAAAACTTTGAGAAGTTGGGCAGAGCCACATCATCTGTCAAAATACATTCCCTGTAATGAGACACAGAGAGACTGTATTAGTATTACTGTCTAAACAGATATGCAGGGGTCAATTATTTGTACATGAACAATTTTAACTCAGCATCAGTGCATACAGAATATTCAATTCTAAACACTCAAACATTCCATTAATATTCATTTATATTTTCTAAAAAAAATAATTTAGAACATGTGCACAATGCACTTTTAACATTAAATTGCTGAGTTTAATTTTAAAGCCTCAAAAAGAAACCCCCACTCCACCCTAGTCTTGCGTCCTTTTTTAAAACCCAGAGAGTTGGTAAATCACAATTGAAGGTCACGTCTCTGCAACTTCATGCATGTGTTGAGAAATGAGACTACATCTCAATCTGAGTTTACAAGGGCTGGTTCATATGTTTCTGTTGCAACAGTAATCATCTAATTACACTAATGAGACAATAACTCTTAATCGAAAGTTTTAATGAAACCTAGTGTATAACATGGGAAAAATGTACAGGTTCCTCAAGTGTGTTTGATTAAATGCATTTCACAACATAGGAATGAAATGTAAGATGCATTTTCCATTCGAAGCAGCACAAACACGCACATCCAAAAGCACTGTGTTTGAGTACATCTGTTCAATGGTATTTTTTCAGATGGATTACAGATTGACTAAGTAAAGCTGGACAGAGTGCATCCAGAAAGCATGAAAATGGCATGATTGCGTTTGATTAAAAACAAAGAACAATGTAAGCCAAAAAATGAGCCTGTCAGTCTATTATTTACAGTGTCATCAGAAGTGCATCACCCCTAAAATATCAGCCCACTGTCTCATGAAATAATATATTGCTTCATGACGCTGGGAAATCCTTTTCAACGTGTTGTGGATAGAGACTAAAGCCATTCACTGTTCCCAAATTCTGTGATTCTATATCACCCTAATGTGACATTAGTTTAAATGGGTAGGAGTCAGTGAAACAATAAACTCATTCAGTGCGTTTCATTTTACAGACCATGAAACTCCCTTCTTCGTTGAATACCACAGTGAGAGTAATAGATGGGGCGAGTCATGTCAGATTTCTATGAATTATGGCTCACTAAAGACATTTACACTGTTATTTTTAAACTACCGGTGAATTTAATGCATTTTCAATTAGAAAAGATGATTCACATTTGTGAGACTGATGGTTTATTTGGTTTAATAAAATTAAGAGCTAAAAGAGATAAAGCTTTATGGGCAGCACTTCTGATGACTTCCTGTCTTTACTTAACGGTCCTATTTAATAAAGGCAGAAAATGCCCAGAAATATAACTTAAGAATAACAAAAAAACAGAAACATAACAAATGTTACTAATGGACCTGCATGTTTTATTTGCTGTTCATCTGCTGGGTCATTCATTCATCGCCTGACCTGCAGAATCATGGGACTGACAGTGGAGGATGTAGGAATGAAGATATCATGTGAGAACTAGGTGAGAACACTCCATACAGTACTGTTCAAAAGTTTGGGGTAGATAAGATATTTCATTGTTTATGAAAGTCTCTCATGCTCACCAAGGCTGCATTTAATTGATTGAAAATACAGTAAAAACTGTACTATTGTGAAAAAAAATATATAAATAAATAAATTTATATATATAGAAAAATTTAATTTGTTCCTGTAATGGCAAAGCTGAATTTTCAGTAGCCATTACTCCAGTATTGAGTGTCACGTGATCCAATATGCTAATTTGGTTCACAAGAAACATTTCTTATCTTATCAACTTTGAAAAAACTTGTTCTGCTTAACATTTTTGCGTAAACCGTGGTACATTTTTTACAGGATTTTTTGATAAATAGAACATTAAAAAGAACAGCATTTATTAGAAAAAATATTTTGTAATATTTTAAATGGCTTTACTGTGACTTTTGATCCTTGATGAATGAGAATTTTAATTTATTTCAAAATTAATTTCTTTAATTTTTCCTTCTACTTCCTTTCCAAAGCTTCTACTTCAGAGAACAGGGTCAGTACCAAACTTTAACATGTTTTGTGCACATTGGTCTTGTGATGCCCTATTTGTGATGAATGAGCCGCACCCACATGGTTATGACTTCCATTTTATGGGCTATGAGAGGCTAGTTTGGAAAGTTTTGAAAAAGAAGAAGAAAACAGAAAATAAGAAAAAAAAAACATATTGCATTTGATCACAGGCTACACGTTGATTCCATGTGTGGTACAATTATTTTGTGACACTAGTGACGACGGTGTGTGAGTGTGAGTTCATGACATGTTTCTCATTTTGCTTGTTGTATGTGAGTTGGGGGATCTGTGGCCTTGTCACCCTTCTCCGCTGGTGCCATGATAATTTAGCCCATGTGGGTTTAACCCTGGAGGCTCCATGATGAAGCCTGTCACCATGACAACATCCCCTTTGTCCAAATCTGGAACATGTTAACAAGTCACAGAGCCAAACAACTCTCTTTCTCTTCTTTTGTGTTCCACAGAAGAAACAAAGTCACACAGGTTTGGAACGACATGCGAGTGAGTAAATGATGACAGAATTTTCATTTTTGGGTGAACTATGCCTTTAACGACTGTTTCCAAACAGGTTTACCAAATAAACTACCACTATCTGGCATTATTTAGGCAAAATAATCAATTGTAATGCTAATCATGCTAATATCCTAAGCATCCTCAACATCAACAAATGAGAATGGGTTCATCTGTCACTTGGTTTATATTGTTGTGCTCTCGTCTGTAATGTTAGTTTATCAGTGTCCGTGGAGGCGTAAAGAGAAGCACACAACAAAGATAATCCGTTGCAGGAACTTTACTTAGTAAAGCATAACTTTACAACAGTGGGGTTTATGCTCTTGCCCAGTGCTGATGGGTTTGACTACAACCATCTGCACCGGAGCCTGCGAGCATACTGACGCTAAACATAAACAACCAGTGAACTAGTCCCCGTGTAATGACGTAACAGCATCTAATTGGACAATACAGAACTCATTATTAGTATATATAAAATAACTGTAACTCAGCTTATATTTAATTAACGCTATAACAATATTTCAGCGCCACTGTGCTGCACTGCCCAGCCCACACTGGAAACTTATTGGTCCAAAATCCTGCACCTCATGTATATTAAATAACATCTAGGGTTACGCATGTAACCATGGTTCCCAGAGAGGGAAGAGACGCTGAGTCCTCTAGCGGACACTAAGGGGACTGCCGCCAATAGGACCGGTGTCTGAAGCACGTGTGAAACAACTCCAATCCCATTGGTCCACGTACCCAGTGATGTCACAGGCGGGTCCCCGGAAGTATAAGAGGGTGCCTGCCAAACACGTCACCAACTTGGTTGTCTGAAGGAGACGTGAAAACAGGCAAACCCTAGGCAGTCTCTCGTTCTCTCCTGGGGAACCATGGTTACATGCATAACCTGAGACATTCCCCTTCTAGGGAAGTCACGCTGCATCCACTAGCGGACACTATGGGGAATGGAATGCCCACTCAGCCATGCCGCATGCCTGTTCACCTGGTGAGAGAGAACCAAGGGAAGCAACAGACATACAACGAACCTTCCCTCAGAAAGAGGGAAAGCAACTGACGCCTGGGGCCACTAACATAACTCTGAAAAATGGGGAACCAAGCCAATCAGGAGGGACAACCCATTAACCAAGCTAAGAACACAGCTATCGTCAGAAGGCTGTGTTACAATGAGCCAAAGCAGCATGCAGGGCCCAGGGGGACCGCCCACTTAAAAACCCCTTAGGGGGGCAGCCCACCCCTACTACCTGACTAAGCTAGAAAGAGGCTCAGGTCTGGTCCTTTGACCTTTTGCCTACTTGAAAAACCCTGATAAGGAGGGCAGCCCGACCACTGTCAGTATTTGAAAAAAAGCTTACATCACAAGGGAGAGACTGGACCGTCATTCAGAGGTTCCCCAACAAGCGAAACACATAAGAGCAACATTACTCCGTAGAAGCTAAGTGCGGTTTAGAACCAGAACGCTTCCTCTTAGTGCTCGCCTGCCTTTGTGCCTGACTCCTAGAGGGAGGAGGGGCTCGAGTGGCCACGTTACTCTTTGATCCTGCCTATGATCCTCAGACTGAGATGGACCAGCCCCCTCAGAGGTTTTAGAGGATGACTTGGGACGGCGGGGAATGAGCCTCCTGAAGGCAGCGGACTGCACCATCGCCTCCCTGAACTTCTTGACCACCGCTTCAGCGGAGCTGCCGAAAATCCTTTTCTGCAAGCTCGACCTGTGAACCCCGCGATCTGAGTCTTCGCCATGCCTCCAGAGGGACCCGAACCACGAGACACAGATGCTTGTCTCTCATCCCTCGAGAAGTGTGACAAACACGAACGGAGCTTCTCATTGGAAATTCTCACAATGAGCGCATTCAGAGTCCTCGAGCCCCGAATGTGTGTGCTCCTCACCAAGACACATAATGCATAGATTGAGTGTGTCCTCAGGTGTCAGAAACCTCAGACACAGAGGCACACACTTTCTAATATGTTCACTTGCCTTGGTTTCTCTATAACGCTATCACACGCACTGTCAAACAAACAGCTCCTGAAGACAACAAAAGTTGGTGACGTGTTCCGAAGGCGCCCTCTTATAATTCCGGGCGCACGCCTGTGATGTCATGGGCTACGTGGGCCAATGGGATTGGAGTTGTTTCACACGTGCTTCAGACACTGGTCCTGCTGGCGGCAGTCCCCATATGGAGCTTTTCCACTCTATGGTACGGCTCGGCTCAGTTTGCGTTTCCACTGCAGTTTAGTACCGCTTTAGAGTGGGCGGGATTATAGACATGTCGTTATAGTTGCACCGCCTCTACTGCTGCGACCTCCTGAAAAACTTTTTCATTCCGCATCGTCCCATCAGTCATAAACCTCTCTGCCCTGCCTCTGCTCTCAATGAGCTGGAACAGCTCGAGCCAAAGCATTTACGCATATGCATATGCATCAAATTACAGACGAATTACATTTCAATTGCTTTAACAAGCACTGCAATCCAAACAAACAGAAGAGGAGAGGAGTAAACTGGCTAATAAAGATGCAGGTATGCGTGTCAAATACACTGTAAAAATTAATGTTCAGAAACATAAGAGAGTAAATAATATAGTAAATAATACTTTCACGTTTATATACACTCTTAAAATAGTTCTTTTTTTTTTATTATTGGCATCTGTGGTTCCATGAAGACACTTTAACATCCATGGAAACTTTTCATTGCACAAAAGGTTCTTTATTGTTGAAAAAGGTTCTTTAGATTATTAAAATGTTCTTCACACTAAGAAAAATTTTTTTTTATAACTGTTCACTGAAAGGTTCTTTGGGGAACCAAAAATGGTTCTTCTGTAGCATCACTGTGAAAACCCTCTTTTTGTATGAAAATGGGTTTAAATGACGTAATTTTGGCACTTTACATATTATATTCAGTTCATTATAATTAACCACACAAAAATCAATATTTAGGCAAGCAGTCTTAAAAAACATCTGGGTTAGTGAGGACGCACACACAGAAACATGGTGTCCTTCTTTTGGATGGATAGATGATTAAGTGATACACAGAAAAATATAATTTTCTTAATCAATATTTTTGTATTTTTTCAATAACAGTATATAGTGTACAAATAACATAAAAGAAACAAGTAATAATTTATTGTTTTGAGCAAAAACCTAACAAAATAGAGTGAGGTTTATATTTAAAACGTGAAAAAAATGCTGTATAAAATAAAAAATATCTACAAATTTTGTTTAGATATTAAGAAAAATAAACAGTTAAAAGTTAATCCTAAATGATTCAATTTAAATGTAAAATATATACTTTGAAAACAAGTCTTAATTTTGTAAATAAAAATATACTGAATCAGTTTAATTTATTTGATCAAAAATACAGTACATTTACATTTATTCATTTGGCAGACGCTTTTATCCAAAGCGACTTACAGTTGAGGAATACAACAAGCGATAACCGTAACCAGTCTGTTCCCAAAAGAGCAGCTAATGTAGTTGTGCAAATTGCATTAAGAGCCACTCTCAAACACGTGCTGCAATTACCAGCTATACACTGAATTCTGTTAAAATCATAACTGACAGACATAGAGCAATCAGATCTTTTGCGGTCAGTGCCAGAGAGAGCCAGTGTCTCATGTGGGAAGAGGCAGAGATGCATGAACGGGATGATGGAATGACAGCAGAAGATATGAATGAAGATAAGTGAATGCAGGACTGTATGAAATGAAATAAACAGTCCGTTAGATCTCAGCAATGCATTACTGAGAACACCTAGACATGACGCATGTTTTAGGCTACGTTTAATAATAAACCTTACCCATAATTAGATCAACATTCACTGCATTCCTGCCTCATTACTACATCAAAGACACTGCAGCGTTCATGTTTGTGTTTTTAAATCTGAGTCAGAATGGATTACAGATTTAGCATTTTACCATGAAGGATTTAAAGCTATTTAGTAAATATGATATTTCACAAGACCTGAGCTCAGATAGATATATAGATAGATAGATAGATAGATAGATAGATAGACCTAAATTGCATCTAACATTCATATTAAACACGTAAAATATTTATACACTGTAATAAGCTAAATAAACTCATGCATGAGCTGTTTTCTGGAAGAAGAGAATACAGCGAGTGAGTAATAATCTAAACACAGCAACGAGAGAGTCTGAGACTAGGGTTGTGACGGTGAGGACATTTTCCCACCGGTTAATCGACGTGTATCACTGTTGGGGAGGGGGGGTGTTAGTTCGTTTGAGTTTCCTCGCTTTCAAATGGCTTGTAAAAGTGCGCATTTTACTTTCACTTTCAAATTAGCAGCAATTTAGCGTCAAGCAATTGTTCGTTTGAGTTTTCCCTCTTTTCCTCGGATTTCTTGGCTTTAAAATAGCTTGAAAAAGCGCCGTGCGCGTTTTACTTTCACTTTCAAATTAGCGCCAATTCGGCATTGATTCAATTCAAGCAACAACAACGTCAAACTCAGAACTTTTATTAACAAAA